GTTAGAAAGGACCTACAGTCTAGTAATGGTAGACACTTGAGAACAATTGTTGGTCTCAAGCGAACCATCATCCTGTCTGACTATAAGCGAAGACTAACTCAAGCATACACAAGCATCAAACTAAAAAAAATGTTAAATCAACAGTGTATTAAATCTCAAAAACTCTCTCTATATTACTGAGTATTAAACATAAACCTTAAGGAAACCTCTGAAATTGTGAAGCCTCTACTATACAATGATGAGAGTTGGGACAAGACCCACGACTCTTCAAGGGACTACTACTAATAACTCCTAAAACTAGAGCCCTCCACACTACAAAAAAAAACTCGATTTGTGGTAATTTTTGGAACTCCCACTAATAATTCATTTTATGTCGTTTATTGTAAATCCTACAATATAAATTTTTTTGTGGTGGTTTTACTAAGGAGGTTAGAAAATCGCCACAATTTAATATTGTTTGTGGCGATTATTGACCCCCAAATTACTTTTAGAAATTATATATATATATATACTTTCTGACTCGAATGATTCGTTTTTTATGCACTAAAAATATTATTTTCTCTTTTATTCGAACACCACCCAATTAAATTTATGTACATCTTCTTTCAAAATATTTTTAAAAAAATAAAAACCAAAATTTCCCCCTTAAAAATCTTTCAAATAACCACTCCTCTTTTCCACCAAGACCCTTCCCACGTAAGACAAACAAACATACACTCACAAAAATTTCATTTCTCTTTTTCCTTAACCCATTTTCTATCTGTAACCCTTCCCCTCTTCTCTCTTCATTTTTTGGATCAATTTTTTTTTTGTGTATGATTTTGCTAATTTTTTTTGGTAGGCTCTGCAATGTGAAATAGAGTGCAAATAATTATTTGAATATAAAGGTAATTCTCTGTGATATAAGTTTGATAATTTGTATTAGAATTTAAAATTAATATTAATATATTATATTATTTATTGAATGTCTAGACATCTTATATTTTACAAGTTAAATTTAATGATTTCATGCTTTTATCTGTTTTACGAGTTATTTAAATTCTCAACATATCATAAAGTCACTTGTACCCAATTTTTGATTGATATCTGGTAAGTCTTAATTCTATTTTTCTTTAGTTAAGGATCGTATAATCATTTTATTCTTCATTGAATTTGACTATAACAAATTAAAGAAGAATTATTAAATTGAGATTGATATCAATATAATTTTAAAATCATGTATCCTTATTCAACATGGTAAATAGTTGAAGTTAATTTTTTTTATAAATACAAGGAAAAAATAAGGTCAAGGAGGAAGTTTGACATATAAGTTAAAAAAGTGAGAAATGGTAGAACCAACATGTTAAATAGAATGAACATCAATATATGATTTTGGAAAACGTTAATCTAGTTTGTTCTTATGTAGGAATAATCATGAAGTCGTTATCATACATATTATTAGTGTGTATGAGAGAGTACTAAAGTAAATCTCTTTCATATCTTATATTTTTTTCAAACCGAAGCTTTATATGAATTTGCTTTAAAAATGAATTGAATTTTGAATTTTGTTAAATCAAGAAGTAAGAAGAGTATGTATGAATAAATATTTATCTGATTATGCATGTTGTTTTATTGTTTCAGCCGGAGATTGAACTTATTTCACTTTGAATAAAAAGGTTGGATGAAAACAACTTACATCACCAAGCAAATGCTATAGATGTTTTTTAATGTTTATTTGATGTAGATTTAAACGATTTAGAATTGTAGTGTTGAAGTTATTATACACAAGTTTATATTACTTTTATTTGGTATGAATTTGAATTTGAATTTATTGAACTTATTAATATAGACATGTTTAACGCAATTTAATTTTCTTTAAATGTACTATTAAGTAAAATTATTTATTATTTCGAAGGTTTGATGTATATCAAATCACACATTAATTATTTAAATAAAAATAATTATTTTGTAGAACTCCACAGATTAAATTATGTAAATATTAATCTCATGTTATGACATTTTTAAACTTGCGCAAATATAATTTTTATAATATTGAGATCATATTGTAAAGGTTCTAAACCTTCACTAACTGACACTTAAAACCCTCCACAAATTCCAAAGTCATTTTGCGGGGAGACATCGTGGAGGTTCACTAAAAACGCTACAAATATGCTTGTGACAACTGTAATTGAAGCTCTTTTAAAAGCCGCCACAATTTAATTTGTGGGATCCCTAAACCGCTATAAATTGACAAAATAACCGCCATAAATTGAATTTTTTTTTGTAGTAAGGAGGACTTACTCAAAAGCTGACGAGCAGATGAAGTGATCTCAACGGACTCTTATTGAGGATCCTAAGAACATTTATATATATCATTAAAATATGTCAATCTAATGATACTAGTATATTGAATGTATGAGTATGTAATATAATTGAATAACAAATAACTACATGAAAGGACTGCAATAGGTATAGATATATTCTCAACTGAATCTAAAGAAATAAAGAAGTGAAATCATTAAATCTTTTTTTAAAGAAAATACTTACCCGTCTTTGAGCTCAACATATTAAGTGATATAATAAAAATACATTTTAACTCTATTTGGAAGATTCTCTAACCAATAACTATAACTATGAATTACGAGATGATACAACGTATTGCCCACACTGCCAGAATTGTACTATACCTTATCGGGGTATAGAACACCTCAGTTAAGTGGATCCACTAAGCTCTGTCCAAAGTCACTAAATATTCATCTAAAAAGTATGACCCTTTACCCATGTTCGCAGACATGCTTTATGAAGATTTTGAGTTGCCTGAACTCATCCTCATATCAGTGTTTCATACTACTTCCAATAATATACTCATGTTCAAATATATAAAACATACTCTTTCTCTATTTTGAGGTTGTTAGTCAAAATAACCTCTTAAAAAAGGTAATGCTTTGAAGTATTCCTGAACTCATAAACTCATTTAGAAATCAAAGCTTCTCTTTCTCAATGTAAAAGTAATATATTGTTCGATTAAAAGATTCTCAACAATAACTCAAGAAATACTCAAATAATAGGATTCATACTAAAATATAGACATGAACAAATCAACTCAATAAAAGCTCTTAGACTTTTCTCTTAAACTCACTTTAGTGTTGAATATACATTAAGACATGTGATTAGAATATGCATGAATTATCAAAGGTAAACAAAGTTTATAGGAGCTACTACATAGAAGGGGAATGTGGAACAACTTAAAGGAACATGCGGCGGATGAAACAAAGAAAAGAATGAGCCTAGCAAACCTACTGGCATATGGCGCCAAGCCTTGAACTTCAGAAGTCAGGCCTTGGTGTACAGTTGGCGCGGGCCTAAAATATTGAAGGCCTGCCTTGGCGCTATCATGGTGTGCTGCCCCAGGCCCTTCCCCAGCAATTCAACGAATTTTCAAGCTTAAATAAGAATCACAAATTAATTTAGAGTTGAGAAATTTCTGCTAAACTCTTTTGATTCTCAACCCAAAACCAGACACAAGAGAACTTTCATACAATTTTTTTTGGAAAACATTACTTTACCAAATCAATAGGGTTCATGTGATACCAAGCATGGACAATACCATAAGATTCATTAAACAACATAATCAAAATGTCAATTGTTAAAGAATTTAATTCAATATCAAGAACTATCCTTTAGATGTAACGATTTCTTGACTAAATTGAGATGCAGGGCGTGAAGACAAACAAGTCCAACACTGTGAGAAGCCTTACATACCTGGAAAGAACAAAGGTTCTTGGAGAAAATCAAAGGAACTTTGAAGAGTGTTTGAAACTTAGTTTTTTCTCCTCTTGGAACCTTGCTCTTTTAAGTGTTGAAAAAGGTGAACTTGGCCTGTAGTAGGTATCTGGTTTACCGCTTTAGGTATCAGCACTATGGCTTTCAACCTAAATGGTTTCAATTTCAACCAATCTGTAGTTGACAGTCAGGGTCGTGTAATTAACACTTGGGCTGATATCATCAACCGTGCTAACCTTGGTATGGAAGTTATGCAAGATGATTTAACATTATTTCAAGCATTAATTGGATGAAGAAAAATATGGCTAGTATTATAAGGGATGGGAAAAGACCAAACTACCCCTTTAAAGACGATTGAAGTGCCTTAAAAGAGAGGCTTCACCATATGAAGCATAACTTTTACTCCGAACTCAAAATTAAGCAAATTCGGCACTGTTGGAAGGAGGACTCAAAGACCTTTAATTTTATAGGTTATGGGTCACCTAATTCTTTATGTGCTAAGAAATATGATCGTCTGAAGTTGAGCCAAGTAAAATCTCATATTGAAACTCAATCGGTAAGAAAGCTTTCAACTCAACTTTGTGATAGGGGATTCTAGTGATCTTAATTCATATCCAAAATCGTTCCAACACTAAATAATTGATCTTAACACCTAAGAACAGTGGGGGATTCAGGATTTTCAATAAGGAGATTTAAAATTTGAAGAATAGACACAAGAATTAGCCGAAGAGGGTTCGATATCTACTATGTATATCTAAAAAGTTATTTTATCCGTGTATAAATTATATAATTCGGATGAGTAAGAATCACTCATTACAATCTTATCACAAATAAAGAATGATTCAAGTCTTAGCTATGAAATTTTCGGGATGTTACAAATATGCATATTATTTAAGTAGAGAACGAGGTTTTTTTGTAACTCATTAGATATAATTAGAATAGTGAATATGATTAAATTTCTATTTAGTTAAGAAAATATTTAATGAAAAAGTTAAGAAAAAAATTCAAAAACATAACCAAAAAAAAAAAGGATAAATGTTAATGAAGGCATATAGAGGTGGCACATTACATGTATATGTTTCTCCTTTACGTAGATATAAATATAGATATAAATGTATAATTTTAATTTAATCTTATTAATTCATGTAAAAAAAAATTTTATTATAAACTATTTGTAATAATTCTTTTGCATTATGAAGCATTGAATAAATAATTCCATGTGAACCAAATGAATTAGCTTAAAATGTGTACTAATTAGTGTTGAATTAGCAAAAACGCCTGGAGTGGTGTATTTTAGCAGGTCCCTGCTTAAACCCTAAACTCACCACCATCACCACTACCACTACCACGGCTATACACGCCTGTGCCGGATAGCAATGAATGGAGTCAATTACTGAAGCTACTTTGTTCTACTTAGCCATGTTAATTTTTGTTCGTGGCCTATTAGGTATCACATTCAGAAAATCTGACCGTGTAAGCCATTTTTCGTCTCCTACATATACTCCATTGATTCCATTCTTCTTTGTCAACAACTTTCTTTGCTTATTCAGATACCCATTTTCCACAAATACTAGTAATACTTTTTTGGATGCTAATTCCATTAAGAATATCATAAGGGAAGAGAAATGGGAAGATGATATTAGGATTGCAAGACTTTTTGATTCCGCTTTAGCTCCTCTTTGGGTCTCCCAAATTCTATTGGCATTAAAACAAGACCCAAGGTTAGTGTTGAGGTTTTTCAAGTGGGCAAAAACACAGACTGATTTTTATCATACTGCAGAGGGTTATTGTATTGTAGCTCACATTTTGTTCTACTCTAGAATGTATAGTGATACATATGATGTTCTAAAAGAATTGGTTACCTTGAGTAATGATAAAAAAGTATTGCCTTGTTCTGATGTACTTGATGTTCTTTGGTCAACCAGAAATGCTTGTAAGCCAGGGTATGGGGTGTTTGATGCATTATTTAGCGTACTAATTGAGATGGGGTTGCTTAAGGAGGCTAGTGACTGCTTTTTAAGGATGAGAAGTTTTAGAGTTCTTCCCAAAGCACGATCTTGCAATTATCTTTTGCACAGATTCTCTAAGTTAGGTGATAAGAACTCATCATTGAAGTTCTTTGATGATATGATTGAGTCTGGAATTGTTCCAACAGTGTATACCTACAATATAATGATTGACTATTTATGTAAGGATGGTGATTTGAATGCAGCAAAAAGGTTGTTTACTCAGATGAAGGATATAGGCATTGATCCAGATATTGTTACATATAATTCTCTCATTGATGGAATCGGTAAACATGGGGAGCTTGAGGATATGGTTTCTATCTATGAAGAAATGAAGAAATCTAAATGTCTTCCTGATGTAGTAACATACAATACATTGATCAATTGTTTCTGTCGATCTGGAAGGATGGCAGTAGCATTTGAGTATCTGCATGAGATGAAGAGAAGTGGCTTGAAGCCGAATTTGATTACCTATAGCATATTTATTGATGTTTTTGCCAAAGAAGGAATGTTACAAGGAGCTATCAAGTTCTTTGTAGACATGAGGCGGGTAGGTCTTGCTCCTAATGAATTTGCTTATACTTCGTTGATTGATGCTCATTTTAAAGTTAGTAAAGTTGATGAAGCGTTGAAGCTTGTTAAAGAGATGCTAGAGGTAGGAGTTAAGTTAAACGTCGTGACCTATGCAACATTGGTCAATGGCCTTTGTAATGCGGGGAATATCAAGGAAGCTGAAGAAGTTTTTAGGGTCATGTTGAAGGATGGGATTGTCCCAAATTTAGAAGTCTATACTGCTCTTATCCATGGGTATATCAAATCAAAAAGGCTAGTGGATGCTTTGAATATTTTGGAACAAATGAAAGAAAATAATATCAAACCAGACACATTACTCTATGGAGTAGTTTTATGGAGTTTTTGCTCTGACAAGAAGTTTGAAGAAGCCAAAGTTTTATTTGATAAAATGAAGGGACTTGGGATAGAGGGAAACTATGTCATATACACAATATTTGCCGACGCTTACTTTAAGGCTGGAAAATCTGTAGAAGCACAGGCTCTGCTAAATGAAATGCAGGAAAGAGGTATTTCCCCTACAGTTGTGACGTATTCTGCATTAATTGATGGCTTGTGTCGGCTGGGATTTGTCCAGGAAGCAATGGACCATTTCCATTCTATGCCAAAAATGGGTTTGCAGCCTAATGTTGTGGCTTATACAGCTCTAATTCATGGCCTCTGTAGAAATAAATGTCTAGAGGCTGCGGATAAGATGTTCAATGAAATGCTTGGAAAAGGTATACATCCAGATAAAATAGTTTATACATCCTTGATAGATGGAAATCTAAAGCAGGGAAATATTCAAGATGCTTTAGATTTACGAAGGAGAATGACCGTTATTGGTTTGGAGCTTGACCTTCATGCCTACACTGCTTTGATTTGTGGGCTTTCAAAAAATGGCCAGGTGCCTCAGGCGAGAAGTTTTTTTGATGAGATGATTGAGAAGGGTGTTAAACCTGATGAGGTTGTATTTTCATGTCTTATAAGAAAATATCAAGAGATTGGTAATCTAGAAGAAGTTCTTGCATTGCAAAATGAAATGATGAAAAGAGGCCTTACGACAGTTACAAGTGACGTTGCAGTTCATAATATGCAAACCTGAATAATTGTATTTTGGTTGTCTGATTACATCATTGACAGAAGAGGTCGCAATTATACTCAGTTTGCTCTCCTCTATCTAATTCAACCCCATTTCAATACTGAGGTAAGTTTCAGTTCATTCATGTATTCATTTGTGCTTACATGTTGACTAAATATAGCAAATAGAAAAACTAAGATAAAAAGCTCAGTGTTCTGTACAGATGATGTTTTTTTTGGTAAACTTGCACTTTGAAACCCTGTTAGATTCCGTTTCCTACTTGCACAATTCATAGGAACCTTTTGTGTATATCCAAGACTTCTTCCATACCATTCACAGCACCAGTTTAGTGCTGCTACATCTGTAACATACCTTTTTAAGTAAATGGTGGTATAGGACTCCCTTGTCTAGTTTCCCTTTAGCTGCAAAAAAGGATGCATGGGGTACAACTAAATGGAAGATTTTACTTTCCATAACAATGACTTATCCATGTTATCCATTTGTAGGCTGTAGCCAAAATCCTTTCTTCCAAAAGAGTAACATGACCAAAGACCTTCTTGATTTCCATTCGCACAATTCATGTAGTTCTCCTTTCCTGATCTCGAGTCGACCATCTCGTTTGCTATAAGGGATGCATTTAGAATGTCTCCCAAGTTCCAATAAAAGTTTTCTGGTATGTGGAGATGAGCTTGTTAGTCACCAGTTCCAACTTTCCATCTAGCTCCTTTGGCTATTATTTATAACTCTCTCCACCACCATTTTTCTATAGTATGAGCACAATAAAAGAAGATTAAATTTTTCCCCAAAACTATTGTATGTGTCAGATTTATTGCTTAAAATGAGGGTTATCCACTCTACTGGAAGTATGTATTTCGAGGCATACGGCACACCAGTTCTAAGTTAAATTATCCATGAAGTTTAGTTTATGAGAGGTCTTATAATTGGGGAAGTCAAATCAGTGGTGATTCATAATAAGTTAAAGATAAGTTGCCCGAGACTGAGTACTGGCAAAAGACAGAGGCAGATGGAGACTTATCCCTTCTTCAATATGGGGGGCAATATGGAAAGAGAGGAACTCTAGGTGTTTTGAGAGCATATAAAACAGTGTGCAGAAAGTGAAGCTCACCTGCATTTTGCTATTATGTTTTTGGTGTAATCAATTATACTCAAATGATATTGTCTCTATAATTGATGTTTTAGACTCAATTTAGCCATAGAGCAGTAAGAATTGTGGCTTTTGTATATAAGGTTAAGAGTACAAACCCATGTACTGTTTTGTGATATAATACAACCTTACCAAGTTCAAAAAAAAAAAAAGTTGCTCGAGACTGAAATGTGAACCTTCTGTTTATCCTCTCTTCTTTTTATATTTGTTCCTGGAACTAGACTGTATTCTCTGTATGACTTGTCCATTGTCTACTAATTAATCAATATCATCCTTTCAATTCTGTTTATTTGTGTTTGGTTCCACATCAAACAAAACATCTATAGTAATTGTTTCACATAAAAAAAAAATGTAAGCTAGATACTCCTACCAAGAATAAGTATTCTAAGCACGATCCCAGTTAAGGTATGAAACGACCCACTGGTTCTTTTGTCTTCCATAGGTGATATCGCTTAATTTGGTGTAATCCTTACTGCAGGGTATCGGGTTGTCTCCTAGGTTTGGGCCTGCCCAGAAATAGAGGAAAGGCGGTAAGTTCATAATTGTGCTTAATTTTTGGTTGGAAATGTTGCATTATGGTTTGATTGTCTTATTTTGTTTTTGGAAAGAAAATGGTTACAGATCATTCTAAATATCAAAAGAAAAAGAGAATTAACGCTTGTGGTTTTTGTTATTAGTAGACTACTTTTGTGTGGCAATGGAATAGGCTAATCAACCACTCTTAGTTTTAGAAACTATGCGAGTTATCCCCTTTGTTGGCTAATAATGTCCAACTCTGAACTTTTCTTTCCTAAAAAAGTTGTAACATGCTTGTACTTCGTTAAAATTTTATGAACTTATCATTTAAGTTGTTGAGTAGTAACACTTAGGCTTAATAAATACTTTTCTTTTGAAATAGTTAACTCTAGGCTTAATACATACTTTACCCCTCAAAGTTGAAAGAAATCATTTACGCCTCTCCTTTGTGGGTATCCTTTTACACGCTTTATCTATTATTTTCTGTAGCAAAACCCCCCACTAAAATGTCATGTAGCGTGCGTGTCACTGTCATATACCAATCCAACTAGCGCCTGTGAGGGTAAAAATCTGTCAAAATCCCATTCTAAAATATTTAGCCACGGGTTATTTCTTCTCTTTAGATGTTATATATATTTTTCTTTTGAACAAGCTCCATTTATTTTCTTCATTCTAGTTTTTAATTTTCCTTTTTTTGTTCTCTTTTCTTCGTTCCTTTACTTCCGCAATAATCTTTTCCCTGAACTCTTCGTGACAACATTGCTCCGGAAAGAGCCACTGTAGGTGCACACCTTATTATTGCCCACATGAACTCAACTATGGTGAGAGCAGCCACTAGAGGTGCACATTCTACTGTTAGACACATGAACGCAACCACAGACCAGCTGAACTGTATGTCACTTGAATGCTTGATCACCAAGATTTCTCTGGAGGAAGTTAGTAAGAAGTAACGAGAAAGCAGGAAGAAGATAGAAAAGAAAAGTCAATGGAAATAGATCCTTAGCTTCTCCTATATGCAAGGATCATTTTTATCTTATTTGTCTTATTTTTACCTTCTTTTTCTGTGTTGGTTATGCATATTCTGATTTTGTTTTTGGTTTTAAGTTTGTCAATGGGAAAATGGATTTGGTGTTGGTGAATTTGGCTGAAACAAAATTGATGGTGAAAGGCTAGAGGATTATAGGAATGAAAGTAGAGAGATATCTACCATGACTGCTAAGATTTGCTCTATAAAAAATTCAACCAAGAAAAGGCAATGGGAAAAAAGGGGTTTCACTAGAATTTTTTTGGAAATCTAGCTAGGTAGGACCTTCGTTCTGAATTTTTTTTCATCTTATTTTATGACGTTATGTCAAGATCGTGAGTGCTTCGAGTCGTGTATGTCTAAAGAGTGGTCTTAGATCATCCAAGCATGTTCCCAAAGATGATTTTCCGCTGCCGAACATTGATTGAATGTTATCACTTCAATCTTAATTTGATTGTGTGGCTGACTGCACATTAATCTTAGCATCCACATATTTGTGATGCTCATCTTGTCGATGTGTTGGAATTTAGCAGTTACATTGATTGTCGTATAAAACTTATGTTTCAACTTGGTAGGCACCCTCCTATCACATAACACTCCGGTAGCATTTTTTTCATTTTAGTCATTCAATTTTGAGGGAATAATTCACTTGCACTCCTGCTAGCACTATAAAAGTTTTGGTCTTAACGCTATTACTACTTCTGTGCTGCATTTTTTCTGGTTTGTAGAGTCGATTTTCTCGTTTACCCACAACGAAGGAGACGCTCCCACCATGCAAGCAACCATGGGTCATAACACACTCTTCGCACAACAAGTCCACATAAAGTTGACTTATTTGCTTGGCCAATTGTCAGGTATTTTATTTCTTAGCATTCTAAGACTTGTTTCAAAATTTCAACATATACACAAAGCGGGGGGTACTCTGTTCTTGGCGATTGGCAAAAGGTCGGCAAAAAGTGATTCATCATGCCCAAGCATGAGCGGATCACTTTTTAGGAATGGTTTATAGGTCACCAAATTTCCATAAATGGATAGAAAAATGGGTCTGATCAAGACCTCGCGAACAACGATGTTCCTTCTCTTTTATTTTGCTCTAGGGGCCATCTTTTGTCATATCTCTTACCTATGGTTCAAGAAAGGGATTTGCTAGAATGATTGCAATGAGACAGACCAACACCACTACTTAAAGGTGGAAATGGAGTGGACGGAGGATGACGGAGCAATCAAGCTTAGACAATTTTCCCTTTTAACGACAAGGGGTGAGCTGCTTCAAGCGAAAAGCGGAAGTGAATTCCGAACTTGCCCAGTGTCATTTAAATTAGCCTAAAAAAGCATTCCGGAAGCTATAGGCAGTGCCTATGTTTTCTCTTTCCCTTCTCTTGTGCAAGGCGTGTGATCGATTGAAAAGTTCCTTCCCCTTTTTGCTAGGTAGAGGGTCAGTTTCAAACAAAATGGAAGTGGGTGGTTTAATGCTCTCTTGAAAGCCAAAATAGTCGTGAATGCTTTCTGTAACATGTTCACCCACCATTTCAATCTTCTAGAATAATGAACTTAGGTCTGTGAATTGTTTACATATAGGCCCCATAGTCCTATCTATTCTCACATAAACTTTTTGCTGTTCTTTTGCTGGCACAACTTTTTTTTTTGTTGATAACTTGTAGTACATATATTTAGTTTTACCTCTATGCTAAAGCCCTTGCTTTCTAGACTTTGGCTCCTTAATAAGTTAAATAAGCTTTTGCTTTACACCCTCGCTACGATCTTCAAGGCTGAATATATGCAGCGACTTAAAATTGTTTGTGTTTTTCATTTAGATACTTGTACTAAGCTTTTTTCCAATTGAACATGTGGAAATCATGAAAACATGGTGTAAGACAACATTGGCATCAATATATGTTTCATGTTCAGTCTTTTAACATTGAAACATGATTTTTTCAGGAGCTCATTACTACTTCACAGTGGAGAGCTGGAGGAAGATCAAAGTATCACTGAACATGATGGATCTTTAAGGAACTTCTACGACAATGTGACCATCAACGTAACTGGAAATTTCCTACCTTAGTTTATTTGTAAGTGATGAAGCCATATTGGCTGTTGATTCTACATTTTCTTATTCCAGTTTTCATGAACCAGGTATATCCCATGAGACAGCAGAGCCGAAATCTTTTACATTGTCATGGACTTTGCATGAAGTTGTTTTAAGTCCTATTGATTTTGAGGTCAATTATCAGCTCAATCTTGACACGATGAACTGAGCAAGAAGAAGTTAAGGGAAATTTATGAAGGTTAAACTTTGCTCTTTATTGTGGGGAAGAACATGAATTAATGATCAATGACATGAAAACAATGCTCTTTTTCTGAATGGCATTGGTGGAGAACCATTCGGTTTTCCCTGGAAGCAGCTATTAGTTATACAGATGTCACCGAGCACGCGGATTCAAATTCCAGTTGATGCAAGAAACACTGGTTGATTTCTTCATTTGAGCTCCGTTTCATCATCGATCTTGTGCCTGCTTCGTTCTTTCTTGAGGAAGCCATGGATATAATCCGGTGGAAGTTTTTGAGTTTGAGATGAACTCACCAAGTGGATATGTTTGTAGGTTGCAGTAACATGTAGTGCTTTGTCTTCAATTGAATATTTTATCTTAACTTGTGTTGTATTTATATAATATCTGCAGAATAGTAAGTACCAAAAAATGTGGAAAAAATAAATATAATATCTGATGTGAGAGATGTGGTGGGTCAATGCCCTTTCTATATATCGATACTAGTAGTATCTGGACATGAGCAAGTTATTAGAATAAATTATATTACTACTAAATTTAATTGCTTACAATTTTTTTTTTTTTATGTATTTAATAAATATACAACATTTATTATTTAAAAAAAGGACCAAAGGATAACTACTTTTTTGTCATAATGCATTAGTACCCAAAAAGATATAGTTGATGCATATGTATGTTGGGCTTGACAGCCAAATAAGTGCATCATTAACAATTGTAATCTTAAAAAATTACCAAAAGAAATTACACCTGCCTTGACAAAACTTTAGCAGAGAATCAGAGTTGATGACAAATTTCAACCCAACAGATTACTGCATGGGTATAACCTAAATCTCTTCATATTTGTAGGCAATAAGCATTGAGCTAATGCAAAGAGGATCTCAAGCCTTAGTTCTAACCTTTTGTGTGCTTCTATCAGTCAATCCATAAGAATTGCTCTAGTTGATATCTCTAGTTGAGAATTTATCTAATCACATCGTCGATGAGCTTCCCAAATCATCAAAATACATGAATTTTACATACTACTCAATAGAGTCACAAAAGTATTACAGTAGCATTTCTTTTTGATACATTAAAGTAACTGAATACTAAATTCACAACTTCAAAACAGAGACACATGATATACTGTATGCCCCTATGAGCTTATATCTGAAGGAAGGAAACATAGTAATAGCATGTTCAACTCTTGTCAAAATAGAGATCAATAATATATATATATATATTATTTCCTTCCCTTTCCCAAAACACACAGACTACTAAACAAGTCATCAAATACCTCCACAAGAAGGAAATATTATGACATTGAACACAAGGTTGGGTCTACCAGTCCATTCAAAGATGCAAACATCCCCAACTTTTAGCTTGTTGTCCACCACAAACTCCTTCCAACCACAACTAAACTTTGCGGTTTTTATTCCAACACTGCATTTTACAGTCCATCGTCTCTTGCTTGAAACTTCAAGTACCACGTCACTCTGTCTAGTGGAAAAAAATTTCCTAGCGACTGATGACGCTATGCTCTGTCAGTTTAAAGGATATGCATTATTATCATATAGAACAAGATTGCTTCAGATAACTAAAATAACCACGAATAACTATCTTACCAGTTGAATCGGGCCTCTGGCAAGAGACACATACGATGGTTGCATAAAGCTTAAGAAGAATGGATTTTCAGATGTAAATGCTTTTGCTTTTTGATATGCCAGAACCATTTCTTTGGCTACTACTGTGCCCATACAAAAAGACGTAGATTGCTGCCCATGCCTCAATGTGCCTTCCCTGAGTTCTTCTGCAAAAATTCAAGCCAACACGACTACAGTTTATTGAAATGATCAAGAAAGTACCTTTAATGCATTCTTAAAGTTAAGGCTATCATTTTTAGTTGACACTAGAAAAATACTCACTCACCTTTCACTTTTGAAGTGATGAAACCATCGGAATCGCCTTTATGCTTCTTTTCAAGATTATGTTTCCTACTGTGATCTATTTTGGTTCGAGGACATGGTACTGAATTCTCAGTTTTGATTATCTTGTTTCTAAAACCAGAAACACCTCCATCTGTTGTATGCTTTGGTTTTCTCTCGTTTGCACGAAATATAATGACATCTAAAAAGGGCTGAGTGCCCTTAATCAGTTCAAATACACAGACATCACCACTTTTTAACTTATTGTCCAGCACAAATGCCCTCCAACTTAGGCGAATTCTCCCTTCTGGTAGCCCCAGATCATATTTAACAGACCAAGATCCCCTGCCAGCAGCACGAAGCACTAAATCGCCACATTTCTCCCATAAATATTTCTGAGCATATGAGAAAGTCATGTGCTGCCAAAAGAGATGAGACAGTAAAAATTGAGCATAAGCTGATCAAAGTATAAGCAAGTCTAAAAAGTAGCTTACCAGATTGTATGGTCTTGAGACATATGATGGCTGCATAAAATATATAACAAATGGATTCTTCGACCTAAAAGCTTTTGCTCTTTGATATGCTATGGTCATCTCTTTGTCCAATACTGTCTTTCTCTTAGCATTAACCATCTTAGTTTGTTGCTTGTGCATCCTGCAACTTTCTCCGCTTTCTTCAAATAGAAATTCAAAATCAATGTATTACTATACTGAAATGTCATGTAAGCATATGGTCGATTCTGTTAGTAAGCCAGAGTTACCAATTCCTTACTTTTGGGTTTTCTTGTGAAAGACGGAGAAGCCACATCCTCTGCCTTCCTTGCTGGTCTCCTTCTTTTACTGTCATTTCCCAACGGACAATGGCCCAAAACCTTAACAGAATGCTCAATCTCAGTGCCTTTGCCATGTTCTTCTGTAAAAATTCAAGCCAATATAACTTTAAATAAAACGATCAAAAAGTTCACTAGCACAGCAAAAGTTGTACACTCCAAACTATCTTATGAAGAGAATTAAACTTTATCACCATATGAACCTTCTGGATGGTGCGTTCATTTATTGGTTTTTGACTACTTTGGGTTGTGAACATGGAACAGAATTATCACCTTTGATAACCTTGCTTTTCCTATCAGAACGCCCTGGCACTTCTGCTACTATAATGCTCCCAGCTGCACGAAATATTGTGACATCTACGAAGAGTTGACCGCCTTTAATCACTTCAAATACACAAACATCACCAAGTTTTAACTCATTTTCTAGCACAAATGTCTTCCAACCATAATTAAATTTCGCACTTGCTGTTGTAATAGTGCATTTGACAGACCAAGATCCACTGCCTGAAACACGAAGCACTAAATTGCCATCGTTCTCAAGGAAATACTTCCTGGCAAATGCTGACCATATTTTCTGCCAAAAGAGTTGGACACAGTAATGGCATGAATCCATATGGATCGAATAAAGATTTTGGCAAGTCTACAGATTTTATAGCATAGTTACCAGAATGTAATGTTTGGAGATATACGATGGTTGCATAAAAGATACAATGAATGGATTCTTCGATTTAAAAGCTTTTGCTCTTTGATATGCTATAGAGCTCTTTTTGTCCGTTACTGTCTTGTTCTTATCATAAACAATCTTGGATTGTTTCTTGTGCAACCCACAACTTCCTCCGCTTTCTTCAAAACAAAAAACCATTATCAATATATTACTACTAAGTTGACATGTAAATAGAAGATCAATTCTTACTTTTGGTTTTTCTTGTGAAAGAAGACACCACTGCATCCACTTCAGGTTGTTTTCTTTTGCTTCCACGTCCTGACGGACAATGACCCAAAATCTCAGTACCTTCACCTTGTTCTTCTGAAAAAATTCAAGCCAATATAACCTTAATGAAACGATCAGAAAAATACTAGTACGACGAAAGATGTACACTCCGGACTATCTTATAAAGAGAATTCAACTTTATCACCTTTAATTTTTAAGTTGAGACCATATGAACCTCCTGTATGCTGCTTTGATTTCTTGGTTTGTACTACTTTGGGTTGTGAACATGGAACCCGTGGCACTTCTGCAACTATATTGTGCATTAGTGTGCTCCCAGCTACACGGAAAATTATGACATCTACAAAGAGCTGTCCCTTGAGCACTTCAAATACACAAATATCGCCAACTTTTAACTTATTGTCTTGCACGAATGCCTTCCAACCAGAACCAACTTTACCATTTGTCATTCCCAAAGTGCACTTGACAGACCAAGATCCAATTCCTGGAACACGAAGCACTAAATTGCCATTGTTCTCAAGGAAATACTTCCTAGCAAACTTCAACGGTATGGACTGTCAAAGGAGATGGCAAAGTAAATTAGTTTTGACGATAGTACAATGGAAAAAAGAAAAATTAGAGCACCGCGAATTCCATAAAGATTACATCTTGTAGCTTACCAGATTGAATGAAGCAGAGACATATGATGGCTGCATAAAAGATATAGTGAACGGATTCTTAGATTTAAAAGCTTTTGCTTGTTGATACGCTGTAGAGCTCTCTTTTTCCATTACCGTCTTGTTCTGATCGTAAACACTCTTGGAGTCTTTCTTGTGAATCCTGCAGTCTTCATTAAAATCATTACATTAATACTGAATGAATTTAGGTTATATACAACAACAATGTAAAGTTTCTTTTCACCATTTTTACAAAGATACTTATTACTAGTAATACTTATCATAAAGATTTTGCGACCTAATATGTGACTTGATTGTGTTATTAGTTGTACAATGTTGGTGCACAGAACTTAAAACTCGTAGTACTAAATTATCATGTAACAAGTTTGATTATCAATTCAGGTCATAGCCAAAAAGATCCTCACTTTGGGCCTTTTTTGTGAAAGAAGGCACCACTGCATCCACTTCAGATTGTTTTCTTTTGCTTCCACGTCCTGACGGACAATGACCCAAAATCTCAGTGCCTTCACCTTGTTCTACTGAAAAAAATTCAAGCCAATATAACCTTAATGAACCGATCAGAAAAATACTAGTACGACGAAAGATGTACACTCCGGACCATCTTATAAAGAGAATTCAACTTTATCACCTTTAATTTTTAAGTTGAGACCATATGAACCTCCTGTATGCTGCTTTGATTTCTTGGTTTGTACTACTTTGGGTTGTGAATATGGAACCCGTGACACTTCTGCAACTATATTGTGCATTAGTGTGCTCCCAGCTGCACGGAAAATTATGACATCTACAAAGAGCTGTCCCTTGAGCACTTCAAATACACAAACATCGCCAACTTTTAACTTATTGTCTTGCACGAATGCCTTCCAACCAGAACCAACTTTACCATTTGTCATTCCCAAAGTGCATTTGACAGACCAAGATCCAATTCCTGGAACACGAAGCACTAAATTGCCATTGTTCTCAAGGAAATACTTCCTAGCAAACTTCAACGGTATGGACTGTCAAAGGAGATGGCAAAGTAAATTAGTTTTGACGATAGTACAATGGAAAAAAGAAAAATTAGAGCACCGCGAAGTCCATAAAGATTACATCTTGTAGCTTACCAGATTGAATGAAGCAGAGACATATGATGGCTGCATAAAAGATATAGTGAACGGATTCTTATATTTAAAAGCTTTCGCTTGTTGATACGCTGTAGAGCTCTCTTTTTCCATTACCGTCTTGTTCTGATCGTAAACACTCTTGGAGTCTTTCTTGTGGATCCTGCAGTCTTCATTAAAATCATTACATTAATACTGAATGAATTTAGGTTATATACAACAACAATGTAAAGTTTCTTTTCACCATTTTTACAAAAGATACTTATTACTAGTAATACTTATCATAAAGATTTTGCGACCTAATTCGTGACTTGATTGTGTTATTAGTTGTACAATGTTGGTGCACAGAACTTAAAACTCGTAGTACTAAATTATCATGTAACAAGTTTGATTATCAATTCAGGTCATAGCCAAAACGATCCTCACTTTGGGCCTTTTTTGTGAAAGAAGGCACCACTGCATCCACTTCAGGTTGTTTTCTTTTGCTTCCACGTCCTGACGGACAATGACCCAAAATCTCAGTACCTTCACCTTGTTCTTCTGAAAAAATTCAAGCCAATATAACCTTAATGAAACGATTAGAAAAATACTAGTACAACGAAAGATGTACACTCCGGACTATCTTATAAAGAGAATTCAACTTTATCACCTTTAATTTTTAAGTTGAGACCATATGAACCTCCTGTATGCTGCTTGGATTTCTTGGTTTGTACTACTTTGGGTTGTGAACATGGAACCCGCGGCACTTCTGCAACTATATTGTGCATTAGTGTGCTCCCAGCTGCACGGAAAATTATGACATCTACAAAGAGCTGTCCCTTAAGCACTTCAAATACACAAACATCGCCAACTTTTAACTTATTGTCTTGCACGAATGCCTTCCAACCAGAACCAACTTTACCATTTGTCATTCCCAAAGTGCACTTGACAGACCAAGATCCAATTCCTGGAACACGAAGCACTAAATTGCCATTGTTCTCAAGGAAATACTTCCTAGCAAACTTCAACGGTATGGACTGTCAAAGGAGATGGCAAAGTAAATTAGTTTTGACGATAGTACAATGGAAAAAAGAAAAATTAGAGCACCGCGAATTCCATAAAGATTACATCTTGTAGCTTACCAGATTGAATGAAGCAGAGACATATGATGGCTGCATAAAAGATATAATGAACGGATTCTTAGATTTAAAAGCTTTTGCTTGTTGATACGCTGTAGAGCTCTCTTTTTCCATTACCGTCTTGTTCTGATCGTAAACACTCTTGGAGTCTTTCTTGTGAATCCTGCAGTCTTCATTAAAATCATTACATTAATACTGAATGAATAAAATCATTATATACAACAACAATGTAAAGTTTCTTTCACCATTTTTACAAAGATACTCATTACTAGTAATACTTATCATAAAGATTTTGCGACCTAATACGTGACTTGATTGTGTTATTAGTTGTACAATGTTGGTGCACAGAACTTAAAACTCGTAGTACTAAATTATCGTGTAATAAGTTTGATTATCAATTCAGGTCATAGCCAAAAAGATCCTCACTTTGGACCTTTTTTGTGAAAGAAGGTGAAGCTACATCATCCCCGTGCCTTTTCCTTTTGCTGATCTGTCCATAGCACAGGTTTTCAAGAGAATGATCAACAACTTTTTCTTTCAACTTCTGGCGTCTTGGAGTATCCTCCATGATATCAACATCCGACTCGGACAGGTCAATTATTGGTGCATGGTGTGTTTCATGGAAATGGAAGGTGCGTGAACTATATGGATATTCGATTTCTGCTGCACTCACATCAAATATAGTGACATCAAAATGGGAAGGAGTGTTGTATCCAAACATCAAAAAGTGTCCACGGCTTATCGAATAATAGTCACAGAAATCCTGCCATCCTTTGGTAAACCAAATATGACCTTCAGAATGTCGCAATTCAACCTCCCACACTTGTCCGGTGGGAACCTCAAGATGCACCGGGCTTAAAATGTCGTTGCAACATCTTCTCTCAAAGTCATGTGGAATACTCTGCAATGGAAATCTGGACTTAGTTTCATAAATCTCGAAATCAAAGACAGTACCAATGAATCCTGCAAAATATATTCTCTGTTTTTTCCATAACTAACTACTAAAACCAAAATGCCAATACAGCCAACTAGAACCTCATATTATTTTCAAAATGCAGTTACGAAGAGTACGAGCAACATAGCTAACTACAAGTAGAAACACAGATACAAACAACATTTCTAAGAGTCCGAGCAACAAGTAGAATAGACACAGATAAAAACTCATCTAGGCAACATATGTTCAAAAATGAAATAATGGGATTCCATGTATCAACAATGTAAATGTAAATATGCATAAACTTGATCATTTTATACTATTATTGAAGCTTTTTCCCCCTTTAATGTAACTATATGCTTGACTCTTTCATTAAAATATTCAGCCCCATGACTCACACAAAACTATAAGCCTAAATTTGTCATCAATCTTTATTAGTATGGTTTTTTTTTAACTTTATATCTGATAACAGAAATCAAAAGAATAACCAAAAAAAAGAGAGAGAGTACATACTAGATGGATGCATTCATGTGGAAATAATATAATCTTGATGAACCTTGATTGCACAACAGTGTTGTTTTTAGTTGAAGAAGATGAAGCCATGTTTGCATCTGTCGATCCACCTACCAAATGATATTACTACTACTAATATTGTAGCAGAAATGCCTATTTGTTTCATTCTTAAATATTCAATATTTTTTCGATATTCACGTATGAGTCTTATTAAATTCGAGTATTGTTTTTTATATTTTGTATTCTCTTTTATATAATAAATTGTCAATTCACTGAATCACGTTAAATATTTATTTTTTGATAATTTCTCATTTATTTTCTTAGTGGTGATTTTTCGAAGTTTGGTGTTGCTAGCTTACACCCAACACATATTTTCTTCATTTCACAAAGAATAACATGGTTTGACTTGACACGGAGTTTAAAAGTATAAAAAAGCTTTTGAATTTTGTGGTTCTTAATTAAAGTTACGTCAAATGTAAAATTGACCTTTGTCTTAAATATGTCACGTGGAAAGTTGTTACAAAAAAAATGTCATTCTTTTTTAAACAAACCAAAAAGAAAAGAAGGTTATTCTGTTTTAAATGGAGGGAGTAAATTATTTCGGTCCTAACAATTTTATAGTTCAATCTACCAAACATCTCCTTATTATCGATCAAATCCTACAAAGTTATTTTTAATAGTATATTTTCAAATCAAATCCATCAGTCAATATGATTGGTTGAGAATAGAACTGTGGAGGCAAGTAGATGATTACAGTGACCTTTGGTTATTTTGAATTACCAACATGCTCCCACAACATAAAAGTTATATTTTTGTTCGTTTCAAAGTCTTAGTTTGATTATAATTTAATATGATATTTAAGATAATTTTTTTAATTTTATAGTTTTAAATTGAAAGATATACAAAATGCATTAAAATATATATATATATATATATATATATATATATTTTGTCTTAAACATGTCATACCAAAAATTAATATTAAAAAATTGTCAAAAAAAATCAATTTAAAAATAATTAAAAAGAAAATAGGATAAAAAATTAAAACAGAAAAAGTACTGTCCATGGACATTCACTTCGTCAGAAGAATTGAAGTATTTACTTTTTTTTATTGGAATAACCATTATTTTATTTTAAATTAATGCTTGATTATAAAATTTCTAAATTTAGTTTGGACTGACATTTTAATTTTGGAAAGTAGTACTACAAATCTATTTTTAAATTTCATCTTCATAAAATTCAGATTAAGTGCTCACTTCTCTTCTTTCCAAAAATATAATCAAACAACACTCTATTTTCAAATTTAACTTCATCAATTTTAAATAAAGAAAAATGAAATCTTATCACCAATAAACACCTTCTAAATAACGATAATCTTTTATATTTTGAGGTCACGTTGATGGATAAAGTTATGGAGGAAACATAATTTTGGGGTTATAATATAATTTAGGTTATTTAGTATCTCTTTCCTCCGTCCATTTTTATATTGAATTCAAAAGTCAATTTGATTAAATTTTGAAGTTAAATTAAATTATATTAATTTGATATTTTAAACAGAATATGTAGATACTTAATAACTATTATGAAAAATAGTATAAATTACAATTCTTTGTATATCGATGTGATAAAATAATACATTTTAAAATGTTAATCAAAATTTTTATCATTTGACTCTAAAAAATAAACTATTACAATTAAAAATAGATCGAAAGAATATAAAATGTTAGTTAAATATTTGGTTCATATTTCATAGTAATATAAAATTAAATATACTTCAAAAATTAAGATACAGTGCTCTGATGTTCACCCTAGATTCTAATCCTCTCCATTTGTTGTATTTTAAAAAAGGTGTGAATGGAAAATGAAGAGTTGCGACTTTTATGAAGAGTTGTGACTTTTATGAAATGTTGCGACTTTGATGAATAGTTGCAATTTTTATGAAAAGTTGTGACTTTTATGGAAAGTTGTGACTTTTATGAAAGGTGACGATCATTTTGAAAGATTGTGACTTTTCCAAAGGTTTGTGACCTTTCCGGTAAGGCACAATAAGAACCTTTTCGCACCACCCTTTGTCTTCTATAAATTGAGGGATTTCCTCTCATTTTAAGATAGAATTCATGGACTTCTTCTTCAACTACTAAATTTAGTATTCTAAGTGTACTTTACTGCCGTTGAGTGGTTCGCTGACACCGGAGTTTTTGGTATCTATACTCTGGTGATTGAGATCATTTTACCCTGGGAGGTCATATTCCAAATCAAACTTCAGATACTAAAGGGGAATAATTTCCTTAAGGGGACACTGTGAATTCAGTGGACTTGATCTTTTTCCTATTAAAAATTTCCAGATTCTGGTACGTGTTTTACAAATTTTAGATTTGTGAATTAATTTCAGTTCTTCTATTCTTTTGTTCTTCACTGGTTCATTAAACTTGGTAACTTCGTGTTTCTGCAAAGTTTGTTGGAATCAGTAAGATTCTTTAGACACATATTAACAACAATTCCTCTTTAAGAAAAATATTTCGTATATTTTTTTTTAAAATCTGTTTCTGATTCTAGTTTCTCTACTAGTTTTAATTTTCTAGTTGTGAAAATGTTCTTAAACTTTGTTTTCTTACAAAGATGTTTAAAGTTTTGTTCTAAGTATGTTTGGAATACAAGATGAACAACAATCTTAAGGAAATTATTATACTGTTAGTATTTTTTTGTATTCTACTGATTCAGTGAATCTGACCATGGAAGTAGAAGATAAATGCATTACTTCTCCATAATTCGTTGCTTTGTTTTAGCAAAGTCGAAGTGAGAATGTAACAATTTTTTTATGGTATTCCGTTTAAAGATTACCAGGTAACCTTCTTATTAAATTATCTATGGATGAAAATAGTTTCTAAGAGTTATCATCTTTGATTTTTTTTAATTATGTGTATCTTTGGAAAAAGATCTGCAAACCATATGTTGTGGAATAAATTTTACTTTGTAGATATTGTTGCTTTTAAAATTCTTTAGTTTGCAAAAATGAGAGATACATATCTTTGTTTGATAAAAAGTATGTCAAATTGTTATAGTTCGAAGACTATTTGATAAGAAAAACATTTCTATGTG